TCTGCCTTAAAATGTGGCCCCGTGGTGGATTTTTCTCTAAGAACCAACTACCCTACAATCCACACAATTTGATCTTTGCCGTTTTGATTTGTGCTGACACCTAAACACATATTTTAATTTTCTCTGTGTTTTTTCTCTTGCCTTATGAGTTAGTAAGAGTGCTTTACATATCCAGGAAAAAAAAAAAAAGCTGTGGTCCCGAGATGCTCAGAGCCAGCGCAGGAGTCCCATCGGTGCCCCACCCTGGGCCTGTGCTGGGCTGGGCCGTCCTCCGGCCGCCACAGGTCCAGCTGTACTGTAGGGCACTGTAGGGGCCCGGAATCCACCCCCTATCTCAGCCCACTTCCTCCTGCACATCCGCCTTGACAGGGATCTGGGCTCAGGGAACTTCTAGTTAGCAGGGACAGCCACAAATCATCAAACGAGAGAGCCAGCAGCACAGAGATGAAAACAGGGCCAGAGAGAAAAAGTCACTTTTCCGCCTAGGACCCGCCCTGTCCCAGTGCTGTTTGCAATTTCAGCTGCTGCATGGCTGCAGATGGCTGGAGGCAAGCATGCCATCCTCCCTGGATGCCAGCTGCGAGCCACTTTGTCCTTCTCAGTCATTCTCAGCCCTGCTAGGGGCTCTGACTGAGTCCTGGCCTAAAAACCTTCTGTGGCTTCCCATGGTGGCCTAAAAGCCCCGCCCCCTGTTCCTGCCCCTCCCTCCAGTCTCACTGCACAGCTGGTCTCTTCTACCATGTGCTGTGACCTGCTCCTTCTGGCTCGCAAGAGCCAGTGGGTGAATAGCCAGGGATTTGTTGGTGGCTGGAAAACAACCACGGTGGGAACAGGCCACACCAAGAGAATCAGCAAATGCTACGAATTGGATTATGTTTCTTTGGAGGGTGGGTAGACCAGCCCACTGCTAGCCCATGCCCCATGTGCCATGCAACAGGGTCCCTGCACACACCATGCCCAGCCTGAAACACACTGTCCCCTTTTGTGCAGAGCTAACTCCACTCCTCAGACCTCAGCTCAGTTGTCACTTCTGGGAAGGTTTCCTTGACCTCTCTGAGCAAAATGAAACCCCGGCCATGAACCTGTGCGTCTGATCTCATATCACTCTTGAAACTTCCCGTGGGTGATGGGTGGTTACTGTCTATCTTCCCCGAGGGAATGCAAGCTCTCCGTCGTGAGAGGGACCAGCCTGGCTCTGCTCATCCCCGGGCGCAGTGCCTGGTAGTAGGAACTGACATCTGCGGATGAATGAGGGACTTAGAGGAATGTGCACAGGCCAGTGAGGTCCAAGTTCTGGCTTCTGCAGTGGAGACCACCCTTGCTCATGCGTCCAGAGTCCCCAGCCTCCTTGTTCTTACCTTGGTCCTGTTAATAGCTCAGACCCTGAGTCACCTGCCCCTTCTTGAATTAACAGGAAGATGCACTTCCATTGAGCTCACTGGGGGGGGATTTGAGCTTATTTGTTTCTGCGGCAGCACCTAACGTACCCTGACCTTCAACCTCAACCCAACTCTGTCACTTGTTCCTTCCACCCTTGGGAAAGGCCACTTCTCTGGGTTTCAGTTTCCTTATTGGTAAAATGAAAGAATTCTACAAAGGGATCTCTGAAATCTTTCCGATGCTAAAATTCAGTTGCTCTTCTTGTACGTGTTCCTCTCTCCCAGCACCATCTGGGGGCACCATAGACCCTCGCTAAATAAGAGCATCTTCTAGACAGGCGTACACTGTGTCACAGCGACATTTTGGTCAGTGGCAGGCAGCAGGTACAATGTGGCCCCGTGAGATTATAATGGAGCTCGCGTGACATCCATAGCCCGATGCATTCCTCTGGTGTTTGCAGCGGTGCAGATGCAGACAAACCTTGTGCGCTGCCAGCCGTATAAAGTAGTGTGCGCATAGTGCCTCCTACTGGACAGAGAAAATAATCACGTCACCACTTTCTGTGTTTACTACACTATATAGTTAGTGTCATTGTTTCAGAGTGTGGCCCTTCTGTGTAGGGAATAGAGGTTCACTGCCCTGTCGTACATGGGTAACACTGGCAGCAGCCTCCTCGGTTTCCTGGTTGCTGTATCAGAGGCTGCAGTTCCTGAGGGACATGTACCATGAGGGTGTGTCAGAGTCCTGCCCACACAACCGAGGCTGCCCCGTGAATGCTCAGAATATGTCCCACGTTTAAGAGGTGCTTAACTGTATTTGAAATCCTGTCTTTCAGGTAAAAGCATTTTAAGACTTTAGAAATTCAGAGTGATGCCTCTGAACACTTAAAGAGCCAGCAAGCACAATATTGATTAGAATATCAACAGAGACCTTTCATTCAGAGGCTGGGGGGACCTTGGGGATCCCTCCCTCAGCCTTGTCTGCCCTTGGGTCCTGGCAGCCCCAAAGTTCCCAATTACTGAGGGCCTCACCCTCGAAGCTGTCCAACCATTCCCCTCTGCTGACTCTGTCACCTGCCTTCCTCAGAAGACGTGGTCTCATATTTCAAAGGAGCTCGGTGATGCTTTTTCTTAGAAAGCTATCATTAAAGGCCACCATCCACACATCTGTAGCAAGCCGCCAAAGGCACCTCTTTGATGAATTGTGTGAGGATGTCTGGTTGGATAACAAAGGCTCCCGAATCTTGATGACTCTACTGTGGTTCAGCTCTCCTGGGGTCTACTGCTGGTTCTTGCATGTAAAAGAGGGGAGGGGCAAGCTCTTCTTCCTGGGCTGGGGTCCCTCTTCCTGTTATAAATGAAGGCCACTGCAGCTGCTAGTGTCCCGGTCACCATAGTAACGATGGGCCACACGGCAGGTGTCTGATCTCCATCAGACATTTTCTGTTATTAAGTGTTTTTCATCCTTCCACCCCCACCCCAGATCCTGTTTAAATTGGTGGCATCGAGGGCCTCCCGGGGGAGCAGCTCAGGGCCTAGGAGACCTGGAGCTGAAAGCATTAATTAAACCTCTCATTTCCCCAGAATATTTTGCAATGCAGGGCCCAGGAGCCAAGAAAACCTCCCTGGGAAGCTCTGATGAGAGAGATTGCTAATTCTAACATCAGGGACTGAGGTAATTCAGCTCCACAGTTGGAGTAGCAGGGTTCAGGGGAAATTAAGCCTGGTATACAGCAGGCACACAATCAATACTTGTGGAGAGTCAACTTAATGAAATGGAGCTCACACAGCAAATGGGAATCCTTCCAAGCCACTGGAAGTCCTGCAAGACATGATAATGAGAGTCACTCAACAGTTTATTAAGTGCCTGCTGTATGCACCCATCGGTGAAGGTGGGGTGCGTTAAAGATGTTAGCTTGTTGAATGAACCCTGACTTGCTGGAAGCAGTTGAAGTTCATGGCCCCTTTTGGGAACTGCAGTCTGGAGGGATTCGCAGAGACCACGTCACAAAGGATTTGGGATCAAAGTTGTGTCTTGGCTACATCCCTGGAAACTTTGAAAGTCACACACACAAACAGGATCAGTTCTGCATTTCAGAAACACCCTTTTCGATGCCCTGTAGGGAAAAGATCAGAGGCAGACTATGGCTTTCAGCAAAGGAACTTCTGAACCCAGTTCTTAGGAGAATAGGCAGCCTTTCCTCCTTCATTTGGGAACCTGGCCACCATGCTGTGTGATGCTCCTGCTACCTGTCTAGCCTCGGTGAGGACAATGAAAGCCTGCCTTGACTGTCTTGCTGACTTTCCTATAGCAACAGCCACCAACAGCTGGCCACGTGAATGAGCCACTGGACGTCCAGCTCAGCGGGTCTCAGCGGGACCCCAGATGACTCCAGTCCCAGAAGGCATAGCACTGAAAACCACCCAGCTGAGCCCAGCCACCCCACAAAACCGGGTCGAGGAGGAAAGTGTTCTAAGCCACTCAGCCATGTGCTCACTTCGGCAGCGCATATGCTACACCACTCAGCCATGGTGGTTTTTGTTTTGTTTTGTTTTGGATAATTACATTTTTTTTTATTCACTAAGTTTATTGGTACATTTTAGGTATACAATACCATGACATTCATCATTGGGAATTTGTACCTTTACATGACAATATCTTGGGGGTTTTTTGTTTGTTTGTTTTTTGTTTTGTTTTTTGTGGCACCGGGGATCAAACTTAGGACCTTGCACTTGTGAGGCAGGTGACAGCACCACTGAGCTAAATCCCCAGCCCTCTTCATCCTTATTTTTTCCCCATATCCTTGCTCTTTCTTCCACCATGGGTGGTTTTTATGCAGGCTGAAAACCTGGAGGGTAGGACCAGGCAGGATTCAACCTGCAGATCAGCAGGAAAGGTCTAGCTGGAGAGGTCATGGACTGGGGAGTTACCAGTCTCCTGGGAATTTGTGGATGAACTCCTGATAGCTATTCTTCCTGGAGTTCAGCCTGCCTGGAGCGCACCCAGCTCAGTCCAGCTGATGTTTGCTGAATCAAACTCTGGTCTTAATGGAAAATGCAAAGAGCACTGTTGCCTTGATCAGACTTCCCCATGACTACAGTTCCAATTTTTCCCCCACACCGAGCATGCTTTTTTTCTGAATCAGGTGTGTGTGGTTCGCTGGCATGGCTGATGCTCTCTGTCCTCCACAGGCAAGTCCTTTTGAGTGTGGGCTTGAGCTTGGGTCCCACACGACCCTGTTCCCCACTGTCCCATGTCCCCTTTGAGCCTGGCACCTTTATCTATATATGGATGAGAATCCCCCCTGCAGATCAAGTGAAATAATCAAGGTGAAGCACAAGGTCGAACCAGGGCAGGGTGCAGATCTCATGGAAACACTGTCAGGATCTGCACCAGGACTCTGGATGGTCTCAAGCATCTCTCCCTGCAGGAAGCCTCCTCCGCAGGGGAGCTGGGCCATCTGCAGCTCCACCTGTGTGCAAAGCTTGGAGGGTACCAGTCTGACAGCCTCTTTGCTGTCTCTTTGGGGGAGAGAGAGGGTGGCGAGCAAAGGGTTAACAGCCCGGGAAAGTCACAGCCTGGCTCTGAGCCCTCCTGGTGCCCAGCTGGCCCTGCAGGCACGCAGAATGGAGGACGGCAACCTTAAGGGAGGCTCCTGCCCCCCGCAGGCTGGGATCCCGTTGGGTAGGAGTCCGGTCACATGTTGCTGTTTGACAAGGCTCCTGGGTCAGCCTCCTGTCTGACGTCCTCCCTGCCGCTGCCTCCCTCCCCGCCCCTCCGCGCGCTAGCGGATCAGCGGCAGCCGCTGGAAAGCCGCCTGGCAGGAGCTGGCGGACCGAGCCGCGCGGAGCCCACACCATGGTGCTTTCGGTGCCTGTGATCGCGCTGGGCGCCACGCTGGGCACGGCCACCAGCATCCTTGCGCTGTGCGGGGTCACCTGCCTGTGCCGGCACATGCACCCTAAGAAGGGGCTGCTGCCGCGGGACCGCGAGCCGGATCCAGAGAAGGCGAGAACGGGGGTGCTGCAGCCGGCCCAACAGGTGAGCTGAGCGGCCCTGGCCACAGGGTCACCTGGGGATGTGGCCTCTCCCTCTCTCGACAGGGTTGGTTTGGCAGGGGCGGGGACAGAGGACGTGCTCAAGAGGGGCCGGAGGGCCTGGGGATGGGGGCTTGAAGGATAATTGGAGGAGAGGGTCGTAGGGGCTGCGGGAGTGGGACGGCAGAGGGTCAGGGCAGGGGAGCACGTTTAAAGCGAAAGCTGTCAGTTTCATGAATGTGAAGTACTCCACAGAGAAAGGTGCTTCAACTCTGTATGTTCACCAGTGAAGTCCACTTCTTATGGGGAGTACAACTGTAGTCCTTTTTGTTTGTATGTCTCTGCATGGCAGAGACTGAAACACTGTTGTGAGGCCCTTTTAGCAGAGAAGCCCTTCAGACCTAAGGGAGTGCCTAGCAGCTCTGAGTGCACACAGGCCTCCAGAACTCTGTATAAACTGCGGCTTAGGAGAGGCTGGGAACACGGACTGTGGAGAAGGCGAGATTTGCAGGATCCAGCGGGCTGGGGGAAATGGGGTCCATGCGCGGGAGGAGGACAGTTGTGGGGCTGGTGTAGGACACACGCCACAGGGCTGGGAAGAAAACCAGAGCTGACTCCTCCCACCCTGTGTGTTGCCTCCAACCAGGGAGCCTTGTGCAAAGGACAGGGGTGTCTGGGGCCTGCAGAGACCCCTGAGTGGGGAGGACCCCACGGGACCCTCCCCACCCCTGCAACCCTCAGCTCCAGCAGGGGCTGCTACAGCAACCCCCAAAATGCCTCTGGAGCCCCCGGACACAGGAGCTCTTTTCCCCCACACATGTGCTAGTCCAGACCCCCTTTGGGCAGGAAAAGGCCTGTGTCCCCTCAGCCCAGGGCAGCAGCAGGTGACAGAGGGGTCTGAAAGGTGGCCAGACTTCAGCTGTGACTCCAGCATGGGCTCTCACATGGCCTGCGGAATGTCCCCTGGAGAACAGAGGAAGGTCTTGCCAGAGTGCTTAGGGGAAGGGGGTTCCTTAAATGACCCCCCCATTCCTTATAGCTCTTGCAATTCGGGAGCAGCACTGAAGTCTAGAGCTCCACCTCCCTCTTTCCAGTCAGTGATTCACAAGCTCCCAGGACCCAGCTGTGTTGACCACCGAAAGCACGAGGAGCAGGGGACTGGCTGCTGTCCTTGAGGCACTTAAAATCCAAGCAGGGTGACACTGACACTGGTAAACAGGAGCCCTGGGCTGTGCGATGTTGTCGGGGAGAGGTCTGGACATGGCATGGGTGGACATGGGTGGGCTCCCCGCTGGCAGGGACTGGAGGGCTTCTACCAGAAGTTGTGAACAACCCACCCCTCAACCTGATCTCCTGCCCAAGGGACGCTCACATTGCTGCTTCGCAGTGGTGGCTCTCGGTGTGTTGTCCTCTCCCCTTCCCAGGGAGAATGCTAGGGACACCGTGGGTAGGATGACTCCTGGAGGAGTGGCCCCCTCCCACCTCTGTCTTACTGACCACGTGCACTATGGCTGATCATCTGTGAAAGCCAAACCAGACTGTGTCTGTCCCCTGCCTTGCTCTCCCACAGCATCTCAGCAGAATAAGCTGACGGTGGCACAGCACTGGGCCAAGCACTGCTCTTAGTAGACTCCTTAATGCATTTAACAACCCAGCAGAGGAGCATGGGCTGATCCGACTTAACGACTGGGAAACAAGTTCAGAGAGGGCAGGCGACTTGCCCAAGGCCTCACAGAGACTTTTTAGAGCCTCAGCTCTTGCTGAGCAGGTCTGATTTTGAAGTCCGTATAGTAGCTTCTCTACTCCATTCCCTCGCCTGCTTGATGCATCTTTGATGGCCCAGGATGTCTCCCTTCGTCTGCTGTTTCAGGTCCCCTGGATTTATGATCACTCTTATAATACAGCCAGATCTGTCTGCCCTGTCTTGTTTCCTGCTGGCTTTTTACACAGATGGCTGCTTCTCACCCTTAAGGCCTCTTGCCCATTGATACAGGGAACAAAGAATCTCCAATTGCCCTTTCCCATATCGTGTCTTCCCAGTTCTTTTATAGGCCTTGTTGCAACAGGATGTGGCTTTTCAGATTCGCTTACTTGTATAAGATGTATTCCCATCTCCCGAAACGAGTAGGGGTCAAATAAGAAATTGGTGACAAAGTCGCCTGGCAGCCCAGCCTCCTGCTGGCTGGGGCAGTGTCTGGCTTCTCTCTTTACATGCGAGTGGCTGCACTACACCTTTGTAATGCAGTTTGCTTACTCTGTAAGGACCTGAGCAATACTTGTCGGCACGTGGCACCTGCCCCCTCCACGTCCCCTCACCTGTGTCCCTAGGGAGGAGGAATCAGGCAGCCCAGGGCTGAATCCATGGGTGTGAATATGGTGACACTGATTTGCCATAATGTGCCCAGCCACTGACCCAGATAAAGTAAATAAAGAAAAGACAGCACAGTTGATTTCAAAGAAAGTCCACAAGGCAGTGTGCAGGCGATGGCACAGTGGTGTAAGTGGCACATGTGGCCAGGGAGGGCCAGAATCAGGAAGGCTCTCTGGAGGAGATCCTGGAGAGGAAGGCTGCACAGGTGGGGAGAGGGCTCTAGATTTCTGCAGCGCTGGCAGAGATTTCCGGTGTGATCTGTGCCGGTGAAAACTGGAATGTTTTTAGGGTACCGACTCTGCCCGTGTGTCCAGATCTCACGGGTTGCCTTGCTGGAAAAGTTCCTTGAATTCATTCATAGGCCAGGTCTGGGAATCTGGTTGCTGACCCTGCCTGGCTGCAGGAAGTTGACCTTCCTAGTGATTCTGAAAAGAGCTCTGAAACTTTCCCAAGGGATCTACACTCGCCAAGGGGTCTGTAGATTGAGATAAGAGGTTTGTGGTCTTGAGTAGGAAAAAAAGTCACATCTTTATGCTCATTCCTCCTAGCATATGGAGTAAGTGACAGGAAGATCCCAAGTTCCAGCCCAGCCTGGGCAACTGAGCAACTTAGCAGGAACCTGGCTCCAAATTTTAAAAAGGCTGAAGATATAGTTTAGTGCAAAAGGCCTTGAGTTCAATCCCCTGTACTACAAAAAAGAAAGAAAGAGAGAGAAAATAAATATACACAAGAAAAGCACAGTAGCATTGTTAGTCCCTGTGACTTCTTTCTCAAGGGAATCATACATGGCTCTGGAACATGCTACACTTGTTGCAGTTAAATTTCCAAGTATCATTGACGCTCATGCGTCATTCTAAATTATGGCATTTAATAAAGTCCCCGCTGGATCTGCTTAGCTAGTGCAAGCATAAAGAAGCACGTATGTAGCTATTTTGCAAGCTGATCTCATTAGATATTCCTTTTTAATGTTCTATCTATCATTTTCTGCTTTTTCAAGCATTCAGAGAACTCCTCTAGACAGGGGAAAAAAAAAAAAACAAACAACTGTGGCACACAGAAGGTCAGGAACCTCTGCTATGTTCAAGGTGGTGGGCGAAGGGGAAGCCCTTGCTAATAGTTCCCTTTCCCGGCGCCAGTGGTTTCCAGCTTGCAGTTCTTTGCTGTTCTTAAACATACACCCTGGACCTTTTATGCTCCCTTCTTGGGCAGCCCTTTGTTGACTTCAAGGGATTTAGTGTCATCACTCTGCCCTTTCCCGGTCTTGGTCTGGCAGGGTCACCAGGAACCTCCCTGTCGCCAGCCCAGCTCAGGAAGCTTGCCAGGGACCAGGTGGTTTGAGCAAGGAAACAGACAGGAAGCAGAGTAAGGGTGATTACATCTCCTTCACTGATTGCTTCTGAATTTATTTGTGCAGAGTATCCAGACACCTGACTTTTTCCCCAGAAACTTCTCCCTGTGTGTCTGTGCAGTGTCCTTCAGCCATTCCTGGGCCTTTCAGAGAAAGTCTCATTCCCACCTAAAGAGCTGTAGAGAGATAGCCCCAGCCCTTTCCCCCAGCCTAGAGCCCTGAAGTTCAATACTTAGCAGGAGTTTGGTCTCATATTCAGAGTTTTCCTTTTAGCATCCTTCCCACACGGCACTTACCTTGTTGTGACCGTAGATGGACATTTTCAAGTGCCCGCACTCTCCAGGAGGACCCTGGTGCTATCTCCAGGAAGTTTACATGTGGGCCAAGGCTTTCGCAGGATTGCTCCACCTGCAGAGTGGTCACCATGCCTTTTCCATCCACATCCCCAGGTCGTCCTGCTACATGCTACCCAAATTATAAAACCCTAGCCTCCTTCCAACAGACTTGGGATGCCCGATTGGCTTTCGATGGAGCCCTCGTGGATGGATTCCAAGTTTTATGAACTGATATAAGTAAGTGCTGAATTTGTATCTAGCAATACATGTTGTATTAGTCAGCTTTCAGTGTGCTAGGTTTCAATTCCTGTCAACTACAACTTAAAGGAGGAAAGGTTTGGTTTGGCTTATAGTTAAAGAGGACTCAGTCCATGGCCCACTGGCTTCAAGGCAGAAGCACCATGGCCGAAGGGTATTGTGGAGAAAAGCTGCTCAGTTCATGGTGTCCAGGAAGCAGATCAAGGGAACAGCACCAGGGAGAAAGGGGCCAGGGTCCAAGGTCACAATTCCATGACCTACTCAGACACATCTAACAGCCTGCTTTACTATTCTGCTAGGTGTTTCTTAATCCAATAAAGTTGATACACCAGGATTAATAGTCACATACATACACTGGTCTTTTCCCCTCAAGATCAGGACTGTGTCCTTTGCTTTCCTCGTATCCTTTAGCAATGTCTGGCATGAAGCTAAGCACATGATAACCCTTCAAACTGTGTTTAGAATTGTCAGGCTACCATGTCTAACCCTGAGCCAAAGGGAGGCACAAAGGACACTCGGTCAGAGATCCCTTTACTTGGGACGTGAAGCTGTGTATGATTTCTGGTGTGACCCTGAGAATAAGTAATACCTGGGCAGAGTGGGGCCCCATTTGAGCTCTGCTTTTCTAGTGTGTTTTCAGCTTCTGTGCTGTCAACGTAGTCTGTGCACCTTGTGCAAATTCACCCACTGTC